TAAGTAAATATTATGATATACTTGTATATCAATGTATGTGTAGACAATATTAAATAGATATTTTTATTGAATAAGAACACTTTTTAAATAATTACTATAATCAGACATGATTTTGGCTATGATTGAAAGTAATATTGAAAAAAAAAAATATCAGTAGCGTTTATTTGAATTTGATTTAATCGTACTTGGAGGTTTATTTTATAAATATCAAAAATATAGTGAAATAGGTTGAGCATTAAGTATTTATCAGAACGTATTTCTATAGTGATATGATTTTGTTGAAGGGTTGTAAATTTTATTATAAGTTGATTATGAAAAATATGATTAATTTTATTTGATAATAATTTATCAAATAATTTTGAATAATTTTGAATATACAAACAGAGTATCGATTTTTCTGACAATTAATTCAATGAATATTGACTGATTGCATATATTCCGGCGTATTTGTTGATTTTTGTATTTTTTTTAAAAAGGAGAAAACTAATGCTTTTGTCTTCGAAATCTAAAAATATAATTCCAATTGAATTATAAAATAAGGATTTCTCTTTGTTTACGAGAATGAAAGCGCCAAATTTAGTATTACATTTTAGTATGGCTAAATTACTACTGTCATACCATTATACGCTCATAACAACCCTTTAACATTTTGAAGCAATGCTTTAACATTTGCAACAACATTTGGCTGCTAACCTATAATACAAATACAGTGTTCTTGTTTTTATTTGATTAACAACGTAATTTTTTCTGCTCTAATAAATATTGAATTAATTTTGTTAATTATTAAATTTAAAATATTATATTTTAATTTAAAAATTTAAATTATGAAGTATTGATTGGGACGGGACGCAAAGGTAGCCTTCAACTTCCTACAATGTATCACTTATTTTTGAAATTTCAACACGATGAATACATTTTTCACATTGAAATTAATTCTCCAGCTCAATGCTTATTTTTTTTGGAAACTTATTAGCTTATTTGCTTTTATCGTCTCTGATAATGGAAAAATTAAATATTATGTTTTTAATAATTTTTTTTATATACATACCTACTTATGTATAATTTTCCATTTAACAAACATTTTAAGCATATCCCACATTAGTAATAATAGCCAATCAACCGGAGAACAGTTTCACAAATTTACGTTCATATAGTTTTGTATTTTCCGTTTTGCTTCTATTTTTGTTAAATCTAAAATGTGTTTATGACATGCCAATATGCATGTCAATAAATCATAAAAAACAAAAAAAAAGTGAGCTAATAACAAGAAGAATCAAAGGGGGTGCTACTGCTACTCATATAGATTTGTAATATAGGAAAAGTTGAATAATTATCTATGATAAAAGCCAAATAAAAAATTGAATTTATTGATCCATGGTTGGTGGGTGACTCATTGAAAATGCTATACTTAATAGGAAAAAAAAATATTGTGAAAAATCAAAAACAAAAAACGAAGAAGCTTTAATTTTATTTTATTGCTCGTTTCTTTTTCTGTATGTATGATTTACTCTCCGCCCCATTGAATTTCTATTAATTTGTTTTTTATAATTTATTACATTATTGGATACAATTCCATATATTTCTTAATCTGTAAAATTTTTTAAATTCACGAAAATTTAAGATTTTTATTAAAAGTAGTTAAAAATTTTCTCTATGATGAAAACTTTTATAAATTTTAAGTTTTCTTCATAGAGAATAACTTTTTTGACCCGTTCTGCAATAGTTTATAGTAGGGTTTTAATTATTTAAAATGTAAGATTGTTTCTATATACAAAAGGACATTTGTGTCTCAATAATAAATTATGAAAAAAAATTAAATGATTACTCGTATTGTCTTAAATTGCGAAAAAATTGTCAAATTTTCTAGTTTAACCAATATTTTTTTTTCTTGAATTGTAATGAGGTTTGTAATTAATTGATTCATACCTCTATTTCAAGTATTCATGCAAGTTCTGCTGTCATACAGATTCTATTTTTAGGAGACAGATGGACATACAATTTTTGGTTTTGCCACTATTTGATTGTTTGTTTGTATATCATCTGTCTATATTCAAATGCGTAGACATGTAACTGCATGGTCTCATGCAATTAAGCAATCAAACAGTTTGTAATTTTTTCCAAACATATTACAATTTTTATTTAACGTATTCGATTCGAATAGACGCAATAGTTTAGTTAGTTAGATGTGCATGCAACGATTACACAATCAAGCATTTTAAAAGCAAGCAGGCTGTACAAGAAGAAGGGGGACTAAAATATCGTTAGTAAAACATTATCAAACATTTTTCATGAATTTTGTTTGATTTCGTAAAAATTTTTATACAACTGTAGTATTGCCATCAGACAACGACAGATTTATACACTTTGTTGAAATATAAATGTTGAAAGCTTATTTTTGTTGTTCCTATAACAGCTTTTTTATTTCTATGTGATATTATCTTAGTGATGTACGTTCGCCATTGTTTTAATTCTAAGATTTTGACAAATTTTCCGATGGAGTTTAATATAGAAACACAATTTGGATTTTTATTGAAATGTTCATCGAACAAAATGTCTGAACAATGTTTGATGTCTAAATACTTTTCTGTATTATATTAAATATTAAATCGTTGATATGATGAGATAAACATAATAATATATAATTAGTAACATGTAATAAGAAAAAAACATAAAACCACAAAGTAAAAAAAAAAAACAATAAAAAATGAAAACAACTTACAACAATCAGTTATACAAAATAGCAATTAACAAAAAAAGTTAATAAACGGAATGATGACGATGATTTTGTTTTAAGGAAATCATGACCGTTTATTATTAACCTAGTTAGTTAGTAAACTCATAATATATTTTGTTGTTGTTATTTTTATTTTATTACTGTAATATTTAATTATGTTAATAAATATGATAATATATTTTTTTTTTGTTTTCTTTACTAATATTAAATTAACGTTAACGTTTGTATAACGTTTTATTTAATTTTTTTTGTGTTGTGTTTTATTATGATTTATAAAAGCAATTTTTATGCTAATTACAAAATTTTTGTTTTTTTTCTCTTCTGTTTTTCTATACCTTTATTACAAGTAGAGGTGAAAACTAAATTTATTTATTTATTTTTTAATAACTTTATAGTTTGGCTTTAACTGGTTTTAAACTGCAAAGAGATATTTTTCATTGGATTTCATTTTTTTTGTTTATTACAGTAATCATTTGTGGTCAATTAATCTCCATTTATTTATGATTAACGATATGCGAAAAACCAAAAAAAAAAAAAAAAAATTACCAGTTTTAATTATAAATGTAATAATTTTTTTTAAATTTTTTTTTAATTTAATTTGATGTGAGATTTCTAAAAAATATAACATAAAGGTTCATTGTTCTTTAATGTTTTGAAATAATTTAACATAATTTTTATGCCAATTTGTGAAATCGATACTATTTTTAGATATTAACACGTCATATGGAAAGTTCGAACAGAATTCGCAATTAATTTTTGTTTGTACGTTTTTAGGACTCAGGAAAAGATGTAATTTTTAGTTTTGTAACTGTTTGATTACTTGCAACTGTATGATTTTGCGATCATACAGTTGGATGTGTACGCGGTTGAATATAACACCATTGAAAACAAATAAGCAATCATACAGCTGTGTAACTAAAAATTGCATATTTGTTTGAGCTCTTAACTCTTATAAAATTTGGAATTGGAATTAAAATATTTAAAACAAAAATCCAGAAATCTCTAACGCCGTTTTCAAAAATAACTAACCCATCGTAATTTTCTCTTTTACTATTTTTGTTTTAGAGTATATAGAATGTAGATATTTGAAGAGCTATTAAAATTCAACACGATCAAAAATTTGTTAAATATTTTTCAATTCGAAAGGAATAGTTTGAACATTGGGTTTTTTTTCAAAATTACCAAATAATTTTGTGCGCTATAATATTTATTATTGAAAGCGTAATGTATGTCCACAAGTTATCGTAATTAAACTATTATAATTTTTATTACGGAATGTTAAAAATTGTTTGTATTCAATTAATAATAAATTTTAATTTATGATTATAAAACAGTCAGAATACACTATTTATTGAACCTCTATAATTAAACTTCAGTTTAAATGATATTATCGTTATTATCAGAAGGTGTAACCATACAATAATGATTAGAAATTCATAGATCATTTTTGTTTTATTACACCATTTTTCCAAAAGAAATCATAAATTAAATCAATAAAATACGTTATGGACTGAAATTCATTAAATTTTTAACCCAATTTCTGTATATGAATATTTTGGTTACGATGATTAATTTTAGGATTGTAAAAAAAGAAAGGTAAACAAGGTTATAGAAAAAAAAATTTATTATGAGTAATTTTTGTGTAAATAAAGTTGAAAAGAGTTCAAACTTTTTTAAAATAATAAAAAAATTTTTATAAAACTATTTACATATATTATTCCGAAATATTTACATGTTTGTATGAAATATATTTCAATAAAGTTGTCACTTCGAATTCAAAAATTTGTAAAATTTTCTTTTTTCATTAGACTTTTAATTTAAACTGCGTGATGTTGTCATTATTAGGATGCAGACTAATAAAATATACAAGTCGAATTACGGTGTTTATTTAAAAATGTGAAACTTAAGTAGTCGGAACACTAAAAACCAAAGGCCTTACTATGTAATTCGATATGATTTTTGTATTCGGAAAAATGGTAAGGTACTACCATTCATACTACCATTTGCATAGTACTACCATTCCATTCCTGAAAATATAAAAATTGAATTAGATAGCAAGGGTTCAGGTGTTTATTAACATTTTACACTAGCTAAAATTAAATTTAATTTTTTTTTTCAAAATTTTCTTTAAAAAATTTCAAATATATCCTGCTCTTTTCGAGAACCATATACTCGTAATTTAAATAATTTTTTTTTAGAAATTTTTTAATTATTTAAAATAATTTAATTTTTATTAATTATGCTTATTATTTTATTTTGTTTACAGGCAAATCAAACACCTCAAAATGCTCGAAATTATACGTTAAGAAAGCGTCCACCACCAGCTGTTACAGAACGTTCAAGTATGACATTTGTTTGTTATATATGTGGTATGGATACAATATCATCACAATTACGTATGGTATATTGTTGTCCGAATGCTGAACGTGAACCGTATTATCCGTTTATAAAAAGTCTAAAACCATTTCCAAATGCTAGTCCAATTACACAGGGTAAGTATATTTAATATAAAATTATATAAAAATATAATAATAGTTTAAAAATATAAAAATTATATTCGATTAATTAACTTAGAAATTGTTCATCTCCTAGTTCTGGAATTATCAAACTAGTTTTGTAGTTAGCTTTAATTCCAGTTGTCAAAAGGTATACAAATTAATGATAGTATAGAATGCCGGAAGTCATTAGTAAAATATATAACAGGGGAAATATTACTACAAAAAATTATTTTTAAAAGTTACTCAAATATTTTGAATGAGTTCTCTTATAATCTTTTTCACAGTCTTAAGTTAATGTCTTTATATCTAACAAGTCCCAATGCTCAGAGAGAAACTTGAAAGCACACCTTATTTTATATGGCCTTTTTTAAATCGAAGTGGCTATTTTTTGAGAAGAAATATTAAAATAAATTCACACTTATTATAAAGCAGGTAAAATTTAGAACATATATTTGAAAAATCAAAAAAATATATTAATATTTTCATTGATAATTATTTTAAAATTTAAAAAAAAGCGGAAAAACAACAAACACAACCTTCGCCTTCAACGTTTTATTTGTTACTGAAAGCATTTCATTATTTTTAAGTGAACAGCTTTTTTTTCTCATAGGGTAAGTTAACGCAAGATATGGGAAGTACCTGTGGTGTCAAGTTGAAAATATAATTAATGAAAGATAATTCTTAAATATTGATATAAATACATAGTAAAGAAAAAATTTGAAGAGGGAATTAGAAAATAATATCTAAAATACAATCAAATATTATTTGTTAAATACAAATTTTATATAAACTTCAAAATTTTACCTCTATTTTTATTTGAAAAAATATTAAAAACTTACTATCATTTATATCAATTACCTAAGAAAAAAAAATATTTAAAATGTTTGGAAAAAACAATCATATATTTTTATGACCGGATTTGAATATTTTTCTATTTTTGAAATAAATGGTATTTTACCAAATGACTCGAAAATTCCGACTGTAAAATAACAGGTATTTTAAAATTTTTGTTCAGGTATTTTAAAATTCTTTCCGTTTAGAATTAAGATAAGTCATACATACACATGCAGGGACATTTTATAAATAGATTGCTCTTGTTTACCTGCTAATAAAATATGAAAAAAGAGCACAGCAAAATTTTTGAAGCACTCAATATAACATGTTTGAAATAGTTTTAAAATAATTATTTAAAAAAAATTTATTGGAAGTAGGTACATACATATTTATTTTTAATAATTTAAAAACTAACTGAAATTATTTGAAACAATTTTATAAGTAACGTATGAATAATCGAAATGAGATAATTCAAATTGTTGAAATGTGTCAACCTATATTACTTTTAATAACATTTTTGTTAGCCGACACTATTCAACTTACCTTATTGGGAAATACAAAATGTGCATAAAAAATCATACATCCTTCCTCATTAACATTTGAAACCATAATGAAATATGAATTTGAAATTTTTTTTCATTTTTTCTTTCCTCCTACCTTTCTTTCTTTTTCGTGCAATAGAATTTAAATGGGAAGCTTTTTAAAAAATGTGTATAATATCCTGAGAATTTTTAAAATATTAATCTCTTTTTTACGTAAAAAAAAAGAAAAAAGTAATAAAAAATATGACACGATCAGTGGCATTTAAAGAAAAAACCAACAACGAGGCCAAAAATTCGTAACATTTCGTAAAAAAAATTGAGTATTGGGACTTGTTAGATATAAAGACATTACTTAAGTTTATAATCCTATTTAGAGTATAAAGTATATGTTGTACAGAACTAAACTGTGGGATGAAGAAGTGTAAATAAGCCGATAATCACAAAAATTGAATTAAAAAATTGAACTTTTTTCCTATTTTTATTTACTCTAAATGTACATTGAACTGAAAATTTTGTCTTACAAAAATCTCAATCACTCAATATCACGAGTTGAATGACTGATAATGAATTGGCAATGTTGGGGTTCATTTCACGATTTATTTTTGTTGTAAAATTTCATAATTGAAATTGATAAGCGAAAAATATATGAATAAAAATTTAAGATTGCAAATTTAGTTTCAACAAACTGAAATTTTTCTTTAAAACCAATTGAGATTTTATGTAGAAAAAGAGTTTCAATTGTTTTTGTATTGGAAAATAAACAAAAAAATTTTCTATTTTTTTTTTTTTTGTTTTAGGCATGGTGCAAATATGTTCCTCGTGCAAAGAAAAGCACTCGAATTCGGCTGAAGGTGGTAATCCAAATAGTAATATAGATGGCCTAAATAATAATAATAGTATTGGTTTAATAAATTCAAATACAGGTGGTAGTAGTGTTACACCCAGTGTTGGTGGTGGTGGTAGTACATCACATCATGGTGGTAATGGTGTTATCAATAGTACAGGTGGTGTTAGTAGTAATCCAGGTGGTGTTATAGGTCCTCCAACAACTGCTGGTACTGGTGGAGGTGGAGGACCTGGTGGTGGTGGTACAGGCGGTGGAACTGGTGGTGGACGTTATACACCATCGGATAAATCACAAGCAAATTCAGATTCAATGAGTAATGTAAGATTTAAGGTAAGTTCAAAATTAAATATAATTTTGAAATTAAATTTTTTTTTTTTTTAAATCAAAAGGAAATTAATTATTTTATTATATTTTTGAATTTATTTAAAATATGTCGTGTCTTAAAGAATATTGACAATTATTTAGATAATTCAGAAAAAAAATTTTCTCTCACATTTTATTGAGCATATTTTGCATTGTACTCTCTGCAATCATCTTTTTTAATGTACATTAAAAGCAGGTTAACACCTTCACTTTAAAAAAATTTATTTATCAAAAAAAAATTTTTTTTTAAATTTCTCCAGATACTTACGAATTCTCTTGAAGAACAAAATTAAAACATATTATGTAATTGCCCCAAATATTTGAAATGACGTTAATCTTAACAATTACGCACATAATTATAATAATGATTCTCAGAGATAAGGTGTAAATTCTATTTTATTAAATATTTAAATTTTAAAATTTTCTTTTCTGATTATTTCATTTTTTTAACTAAATATTTCATTTGGATATTGACTTAACTAATATTTTTTTAATTAAATATTCGATAATAGAAAAATAAAAATTTTTAGTTTAAATTTATTTTGTTTTCAGCATAATTTAAACAAGAAGATAATAAAGGATAATAAACAGCCTTTTTTCTAAATGATTTTCTGTTTTTTTGTTTCTTAAATAAATTAAGGCGAATAAATATGTATTTCAGTAGTTCAACTGTAATTAATTGATAGTATGATAACAATAATTTTATATCATACGTATGTTTTGTACTATTAAAAAGTCAATGGTGGCAAATAAGAAATTATTAAATTTTAACAAGAAGAGAAAATTTTACCAATATTTCTGTGAAGATTAACTTTTGAATAAAGTTCAAGTATGCTGACAATATTTTAATATACAGTTTTTAAAATTTTTTTATTGTCTTTATTTGAATATTTGTATTTGGCAAATATAAATGGAAAAAATAAAAGTGTTCGCATACGTAACAAAATATGTATACATATATATAAATTTATTTATTTAGCTGCAAACAAGGTTTTATTTAATTAATAATCAGAAGAAAAAAAAATATAAAATGATACCTGTAAATTTTTTTTCTACCCTCTTGTATTTTTTTTAAATTTATATTTTTTTATTTAAAATAATATTTTTGTTCAAATAACCTTGTTATACGATCATTTTAAAATAACAAATTGCCTTGAATATTTTTTTTTTGTTGAATAATTTTGAAAATTTTTTAACTTACTTGTTTTCTATCCTATTTTTTTCCATCAATTATTTATTCAGAAAGACAAATACATAGTTACTAAAACGTTAAAAATAATGAGTAATTCAAAATTTAGTTAGAATTTCTAAATTTTTCAAATGTTTAAGATTTCTTTAATTCTTTTATAATATTTAATTAATTAATTTAATAAAAAAATAGTTGTATTGAATTTTAAAATGCCCAGATGTATTGTATGTAACGAAAATTTTTCTTAGTTTCAATAAAATAAAGTCCAATGGTGACTTTTGATGAATTTTTATTCAAGTTCAGTGTACTTATATAATTTTTAAAAAATTTAACAAAACAAAATAATTTTTTAATTCACCCAAAATTAGCCCACATGCTATTATTGAATAGATAAAAAAAAATATTTTTTAATTAATAAATTGAGAATATTACATAACATTATTGCTTAATTTTTAAATAATTATATTTATTTTTTAAATTTTGTAAGTTATAATATAACATTAATAACCCCTACCACACGGATTGGTCATATATTCAATAACAATTTATATTTCCCTAATTAACTCTATTCATTATTCAATATTAATTGTAGTATGCATATTGTGTTCGATTTTATTATAATGACATTTTAATTAGAATTTACAGTTAATAAAATTACCTTAAATTTGACCCTATTGTGTCATTGTAAAATCTGGTTATTGTTGATAAAATTTATGTACAAGATTTATTTTAAAATCATAGGTATTTTATTAGAAAGGTGGATGATCATTTAAAAAATTACATTAGTTTTGTTAATATTTTGTTTTTTTAATTAAAAAAATTAATTTTGAAAATTTTATAAATTTCACGTTAAATTCACCAAACTAAAGGATATTTCGAATTAAAGGGCATGAAATGCTACCAAAATTGTTATCGACATTTTTTCAGAAAAAAAAAAAACATATTGACCCGTATTAGAGTTATTGAATTATGCGTGCCTATTCATGTATGATTCTCGAAATGTGAGTAAAATATCTCTCGTCTTAGCTTATCATTATTTTCCTTAATAAAAGATCATCTCACATACACAATACAAACTTATTATTACGCATACTAGAGAATAAATTATTTAAAAAAAGGTCATTTGAAATTCGCAAATCATGCGTATATGATGGCAAAAAATTAATTTAGATCAAGTTCACAAAAAAAAAAAAAACATTTTCATTTGAATATTTTAATCTGATTTATTTTATATTCTATATTTTCTATATTATATACAATTTAGTTTTTCTATAGCATAATAATAATGTTTTTATGTAATAATATAATTAATAAATATTTTATTTTCTTTCGCTTTTATTTGTTTTTTATTCATTTATTTATTAATTCTATCACGCTATAAAAGACTTTAATTCGTGTTAAATATTTTGTTTTGATTCCGTCATTTCTACATTTTATTATATTTTAGTCCTATTTTTAAAAATCCATTTCGAAAAATACAACTACAAGACAAAAAACAAAAAAGAAATTCCTATTTCTTAACTGAATTAATTATTGTATATTAAGTATGATTTTATCGATATGATTGATTCATCGCTATCACTGTTGAAAGGTGTACAAGCATATTTTTTAATAATTATGAAATAAAACTGAAATTTCATTTTACATGTGAGTTTAAAAAAAACATTTAATAGCGTGTTAAAAATATCTGTGTAATTATAAATTTAATTAACATTAATTTTGAAATCGCATTTTGTTAAAAATTAAAAAAATCAAATTGTATTCGTCCAGCCAAAATTATTAAAACGCAATGATGAAAAATATTATTTAAAATGATCTTAATTCAAGGTAAAACTAATAGGCCTTTGTTTAAAATATTTTTAAAAATGAAAAAAGAAGTTTCTGTTTCTTCAACTTAATTTCTCCAGATTGTTTATTATATCACTGCCCCAAAGAATGCAGTTAGAATTATGAAATTTAAACTAAATAAATAAATAATGTCAAGCTAAGACTTTGAAAGCAAGGTTTTCCTAAAGGCTCTATTGGATTTTCTTTAATAAAAGAAATATGTGAACTAAAATTGAAACAAACTAATGTATTATAATGTTGGATATGATCAGAAATGTTAAATGCCTTCGCGATGTAGGTTTAAGTATCAGTTTCCGCCAAAAAGCCTACTGCAATAACCGTTTGAATTGCATATTTCCAAATACGTTGTCCAATATCTCTACAAAGTGTATTATAGTTACTTTAATTTATTTTTAATTTAACTAAATTATTTTGCAAAATTAAAAATTCTATTAATCAATCTAAAATGTCGAATAGTCACTTGGACATTTATCACATTTTATAATAAATTAGAATATTAAAGCCAAATCAAATCTATTACATAATCTAGTAACATTATTAATACCATCTATTTAAAATTTTTTTGCAGTTAAAGTTCATTATTCTTAGATTATAAGAATTTAAATTTTTATTTTAGGGGAAGAGTTTCGTTTACAAAAAGAACCTCGTTCTATACACATACTAATTATTTTTTAATATCAAAATGTCTAAAATATATGAATTTGGTGTGACCATATTCAGAAATTTTAATAGGTAGCTTTAATTGAATTTGTGTTTAGAACTTGAACAAATTAAAATTCTTATTGCTTAAATTTTTCTTTTGTAAATTCTCAAATTTACTGTACAGGTTTTGTCACACATTATATTAGATCTAATATTTTCAATCATACATGTTCCTATTTCTGGATATCCTATAATTGCTATTTAACATTTAATTAACATAATAATATTAATTCAATGAACATTGTATTTTCCGTCTACATTGTAAATGTTATGCGTGACCTACAGAATTGCATTCTTATTTCAAATCTAACTACATTATTCAATAAACAAAAAATGTTTTTTTTTTTTTTGATTTTTTGTTCTTTTTTTTTATAATATTTTATTTCGTATTAAAATATTGAATGATAGTAGAATAATGTAAAATAACAATAATATAGTTGATAGTGCACAATAAGTTCATAAATGTCACATGAAAGTTTATCTGTTTTCTATTAGAATTAAAAAAAAAATTATATAAAAATAAAAGAAATAATACAAGTATAAAAATAACATTTAATCAACAAAAAAAATTAAATAAATGAAATGTCAAATGTCCTGAACTCTTGAACCAGATTTTTATTATTGTTATTTTTATTTTAAATTTTTTCTTTTTTTTTGTAATTATGTTGTTCTTTTATTCGTTTTATAGTTTTAAAATTTTTTTTTATGGAATTTTAGAAATTTGATGAATTACTTATGTTCGATCTTTATCTTTAAAGTCAATATTAAAAATCATAATTAATGCGTTCCATTTACAGGAATACAAAACTTTAAAATTCTTCAGTGTTATAATGGAATACTTTGCTCAATATGAAGCCATTCACTGGCTAATAATCGTCTCTTGTGTAGTTTGAAGTATTATTCGTTTAGAGTATGTTATATGGTTTCAAATGGAACGCTATCAATAATTTTAAGTTGTAGGTTTAAAAATCATTTAAAAACAATAATAATTACTAATGTTAACATTTTTACTCTTAAATAATTGGAAAGAGAGCAAAGAGTGCATAAAACAAGTAATACCATTAGAATTTTTTAATTCATAAAATTTTTGAAAATTAATTCCAGTTTAGGTTCTATTCACCTTTGTCTATGTTCTTAATAAATTTTGGACAATATATCTCGATTTTTAATTTTCAAATATAAAAATTTAATTTCGAATTTTTGTTACTCGTTTTCCACTTTTAATTAA